AACCGAATCCGAACGCAGATTTCGGTGCCTCATTTCGGTGCCATGCCTGAGCGATCGATTTAAATATTTGTCATCTGGTTCTCCGAAAACGGACATAAGAAGCATCATCACTGGCACCACACGTGAAAAATAATTTCCCGACTCAGAAAATGCACGTGAACTCAAGTCGGAAAGCTCTAAAAAATACAAATCCAACTCTCAGTTACAGCAATGCCTTTGTCCATATAAGGGATTTCCTGGAGGGTCATGAGTTTTGCTACTTTTGTGACTGGATATGTGGATTTTCTGTGCGAGGGCGCCCTCTGGTGTCCAGTATGAATGAAACTGACATCACGTGTTTATAGTGCTAATGGCCAATCCATCATTTTTTGGGGAATTTTTATTTATTTTTTAATTTTTTTTAAATAAGTATCGGTTCAGGCACCGATTAGGCACCGGAACCGTTTTAAAAGTATCAATTTAACTATATTGTCGCAGTCGAGTGTTTATTGTCTTTGTTTTATCATTCAAAATGTTTATATGTTCCGTTACTCAGTTACAGCAATGCCTTTGTCCATATAAGGGATTTCCTGGAGGGTCATGAGTTTTGCTACTTTTGTGACTGGATATGTGGATTTTCTGTGCGAGGGCGCCCTCTGGTGTCCAGTATGAATGAAACTGACATCACGTGTTTATAGTGCTAATGGCCAATCCATCATTTTTTGGGGAATTTTTATTTATTTTTTAATTTTTTTTAAATAAGTATCGGTTCAGGCACCGATTAGGCACCGGAACCTTTTTAAAAGTATCAATTTGGCACCGGTATCGAAAAAAACCCAAACGATACCCAACCCTAAGAGCTACACTTTTTCTTGTTTGTCTGAAAAAATATTGTTACAAATATTGAGGTTTTTGCTTCAAAGTTTATCCTTAAATAATATATTAATTATTTAATTCATTATCTTGTGATTTTGTTTTTTTTCTTCTTCTGCTGTCTGGCCTTCTAATTTAAATCATCTTTGCTTTGAGCTCTATATGCAGTAGTAGCAATACATACATTGTGTAAAATATGATAATATAAAATAACCTAGGCAAAAAATAAGTTTCAATAGGCTAAAGTTTTAATGTTGCTAAAGTCTAGCATCAAACTTACAGATGATTGGTCCATATTAGTGAATATTGTAAGATGACATGTTGCTTTGGTGCAGTGGAGACATAGTGTTATGTTAAAGACTTACTCTCATGATTTTCAAAGTTGGTCTTAAATCTGTTTTGTCCATTTTGGAAAAAAGTTCTGTGGCATGCAAACTTAAAACTTTCTGAAAGCACTGTATGGTGATGTGTGTTTCTGGTTTGCACATGTTGAAAAAGTTAACCCTCATTATCAGCTGTTTGACTTTCAAATATTTTAGCAGGTCTGCTAATTCATAACTCTCTTGTTTCACAGATAAAGATGTGGAGCCCACAGTAAAAGTCAGTAAAGTCACTAGTGTTTCTGTCAAATCCACTGTGACCAAAGGTAGAAACTCTCCACCGCTCCTTCCGTTGTGGCAATTATTAGGGACTGGTGAAATAATCAATGGGCTTCCCAGTGGGCACTAACACCCAATCTCTCTGGAGTGTTTTGTTTTTTTTTAATCAAAATTTTACTGCACAGGCAGCCAATGGTATCAACTGGAAATTATGGTGATGGGCATCCTAAACTTTCTTCAACCTCATGTAATTCCTGGAACTAATGCAGCTTTCTAGCTCATACTGTTTGGAATAGGTTGGGCATTGAGGGTTTTGCCTGAGGGTCATTGAGCGTGACCTTAAAGTTTCCAGAATATTGTATCAAGCACAGAACCACCGGGCCTAACTGATGGTCTTGTGTTTCAGAGCCGGTGGTGGAGGGCCCTGTCTCCGTGGGACGAATAGTAGGCTCAGGTACAGCCTCGCTGCAAAGAGTGCACTCTGGTCAACATGAGAACCCCAGCAGGCCTGGTAGTCCTGAGATAATGTCCTCTAATACATTACACACGAAAGACCCTTTCACACCAAACACAATATGAGAACGAACAAAAAACAAACCAATTAAAGTCTTTTCACACTGAAAGTGTGGCAAATATCAAGATAATAAATCAAATTCGTGCCAGAACAACAGGTGGTGCTCAATAAGCTCACACTGGCCAGGATAGACACCTATACCTGCATGGTGGCCCGCTATATGCCTGACAAGTTTCTAAATAACGACAGGCACAATAACTGCAGTGTTTTGTTTTATACACACACACAATGATATCACACGAGCAGTGAGAGCAATACCACACAAGTTTTGTCCCGAATAGCACGAGTGCAAATATTTGCAATATTTTCTGTTTTTGCTCAGTTATTCCAACAATAATATAACCTATAAAGTCACAGCAGAATTGTGCGTCTCTGAGCAACTCGGTGGTGAATCTGCTTTTTGAACGAATCCGGTGAACCAGTGATTCAGTGGCACATTCATAAAGGCCCTGTCCCAAATGGCACACTTCATGTGCACTTGTGATCTTGCGGACCTATAAAGGCCGTCGCATACGCATGTCCGTTAAGTCCACGAGACCGCAGGGTGTCCCATTGGTCATTTTAGCTTTCAGAAGGGTGCTCGCGAGCGCTCCCTTTGCAGCCACTATGCAACCTTGATGCACACTTCTGCCAAGCCTGCACTGAGGCGAGCTCTGCGGCAGACTTCACGAAAGTGTGGACTCCGAGGAAGGGGCAGGGCCAAAGTTTACTTAATTCCTGAATGAATCCACGAATGAAGGAATGACCTGATGATTTACTCAAAGATATTTACCACCACCTTCTGGCAGTTTTAGTTTCTTGTAAGTATCATTACATTAAAAAATGGATAGTTAACCAAAAAAAAAAAAAACTGTTATCATTTACTCACGCTCATGTCGTTTCAAACCTGTAACACTTACTTTCTTTCGTGGAACATAAAAGAAAGTATTTTGAAGACTGTTTGTAACCAAGCTGATTTTGTTGACAATTACTTTCATTGTATGAACAAAAAAATACTGAGATGTTTCTCAAATTATCTTCTTTTATGCTCCATAGTTTATCTTAGGCTGTTGTAGCCTAAACATTTATGTAATAAATTTTATGTTGGTAATTTTTTTAGTATCTACTTGATACTTTTCTAATTTAAATCAGTAATGGCTTTAAATTATCTTTTGGGGGTATTTTCACAGCCAATTTTAATTAGCAAAAATTAGAATAATGAATCTTCACATCATGTAATTAGATAAAACATTTTTAATCGACTGACAGCCATGTGTGTGT